AACTGGAATTAAAACTTACCAAAGATGAGGATTAATGTCCACTTCATCTTCAAAGAGCAATTTACTGTCTGTACAACGGGGGAAAAAAGAGTATATTTTCATAAGTACTAATGAATATCATCATGGAGAGTTGCTGAATAAGAAAATCGTGACTTACCCAGAATGAATATTATAATATTGTCCTTTGAACTGTTTGACACAAACTTCTACATAAGTTAAAGTTTTTTCTGATCAACTCAAACATAAAACAAAAAGCGTTACAGCAGAAAAATGTAAAGTTTGTTAGACGAAACGAAGGACCAGTGTCGGGCTTTTATATGTTCTCGTTTGCCATTCAGAGCAACATTATCATACAATAACTGGATGTTTTCTGTTCAGGCTGAATGCACGTAACGAATGATTTACTGAATATTTTAATGACTTTAACAAACCTTTAGGGAAACCCCACCTATTTCTAGTAAAGGTGGTTTCAGGGGCAGATTTTAATGAAGAAAAGGTACACAATGCCACAAGGTGCTTACTCATAGAGGTTGGACTGCAGCCTTTGAAACACTTTTTAGTGTTTAAATAGGATTTTTTAAGCCTTTCATTTGTGGCTAGAATGAGTGTTTTCTTGTCTGTTTTCAAAAGCACATCTTCTCCATATCCTGACATATTGATGTAATGGAAACTGTTTTTAACGGCAGTGTCCTTCGAGACAACTTTAGACTTATGAAAGATGTGAGATGTGAGTTCCTGTCCAACTAAAGTAAAAGAGACTGAATTTTTTTAAACAATGAACTCTGGGAGAGAAAAAAAGAATACTTAGGAATATAATTGTTCCTTCTTTGAATACCGCTCACTTTTATATGTTTATTCTGCTTTGTCATGAACTTTATGATGGAAAGGTCGATGTTTTGGCAAGAGATCTGGGAATTTTTTTAAACCCCTTCTTTCTTCACCTCTTGAAAAAAACAGAAGGTTGTAGAAGGTCATGGCTGAAACTGGGAAAATAGATTGATGATAGAAATCACGAGTCGATCTATGAAGGCTGGCTCCACACGAGGCTATTACACAC